CTGACTTAAATCTGGTACTGCCCTTGCCTACATTTTCTTTACTTAGCTAGTGGTTGTTTTTACAAAGGTACTATAAACCTATCTCTAAGTAGTATATACTTAAGCATGAATCTAATTATTCTTCTATGCATTAATAAAATCCTTTGTAGATTAAAAAAAAAAGTTGTACTCCTACTGTGTATAAAGTTCTGGACTGTGTTGATTTGGGAGATGAGGGTGGGAGTGGGGTTCAAGTACTATTGTCCTCATTCATTTTTATTCTGAAATTGGAGACTTACACGTGTTATTAATTTTTTTCAGGTGCACTCTGCAGCCACTAGATGGCTCAGTAGATATGCTTAAGTCTTCACCAGGGTCATTATTTCAAAACCTAACAACCAAATTACTATTCATTTCTCACATTGAAGTTCAAAACTATACCTGAATTATGCCAATTATAGGATTAAAAAATGAGGGCACAACAGACCTAGAACTGGATTTGACAAACCTCGCCCTCTATTGTGATGACCTTGTTTATATGTTTGCTTTTTATTACGGCTGCCATATTTTATTTTCAGTAAACGTGGGGCATATTATTACTGGCAAGGAAAAGATTATGGACTAACAGATGTCATCGGTCGTGTCAGATCTAGATCAAATGTAGAATGATTATACATCTTGACACAGTTGTTCTTGAAATATAGAAAAATCCATTATGTACAAGATGTCTGACAACTCTAGTTTTAGTGACATTGTACTCAACTTTGAACTCATGCTGTTTCCTTTATCTTGGATTAAGTTATTTATGTGAGTGCAATAGAACTAAAACCACTTATAACTAAGATTAGAAGAATACTTCTTTAACATAACTACTTCAAACCACTTCAAAAATATATATCAAAATATATTTAATGGTGAAATATCATAGGTGATCCTATTACAATGAGGAACAAGAAAAGTATGTTTGCCATTACACTTTAGAATTTTTCTTCTGGACATTCTAGATAATGTAACAAATCAAGAAAAACAGAAAAGGTATTATTTTTGGAAAAGGAGAGACAAAATCATCATTGTGTATAAATTATATTATTTTCCACTTAAAAACTGAAGGTTATGATAAGGAAATATTTTAAGTGGGCAAGCTACAAAGAAATTGTATAAAAGGCATTAAGTTTTTAAAATTGATTGTACAAAAATAAACTTTCTTATATATAGCAATTATCGAGTAAATGAAACAAACATATATTTTACTTACAAAATATGTAAGTTGCTTAAAAGAAATGTATATGACCACATGGTAAATACTCCAAGAGTTTCCTGAGTAGTATAAAAATACTTTTAAAAAGAAAAGATTACTCATCCAGGATGGGAAAAACACAATGTAAATGTATTAATTTTTCCCCTAAGTAATTAAAAATTTTAATGATAGTTCAACAAATGTCATTCTAGAATTTACTTTTTAAATTTCACAAAATATTAAGTTTATGTGAAAACTCAATGAAGGAAAAGAGCCAAGAAAATAAGAATGAGGGACTCTTTCATTGTTAAGCAGTTTGTTTATAATTTGTTAGAAATCTACAGTAATCATATAAGTATAGCACTGATTACTCAAAGAGAATGTAAGAAATCATATATAATATACTGTATTATATTATTAACTAAATACTAATTCATATATTATACTATATAAATTAATATTTAATAAGATAGCACTTCAAATTGTTGGATAAAAAATGGAATATTCAACAATTATATTTATTTAATATTTAAAAAATAATTAATTTAATTCCCTACCATGAACTATACTGCAAAATAAAATTCAGGTGGATTATATAGAGAGAAATGAAACATAAATATATAAGAAAACTAAAAGTATTGACTCTAACATTTACAGAATAATAGGGTAAGGAAAGCTTTAAGCAATTAAAAGGGAAAGTATTCACATATATAATTACCTAAAATACATGTTTTCCCCAAGACTCTGGAAACAATAAATTATCAACAAGGAAAAATATTTTTAAAAGATTAATGAAAAGATGTTATTATCATCATGTATTGAGCTCTTATAAATCAATACAAAAAACTCACTACAGTAGAAGTTAAAAGCAAAGATATGAACTGGCAAGTCACCAATGAGGAAATATAAATGACAAATAAACAAGTTTAAATTATTTTCAACTACACTGGTAGCCAAGGAAATGAAAATTACAACATCAATGAAATACTGTATTTCTCTCAAACTGGCAATGACTAAAAGGAATCATTACGAGTGCTGGGCAGAGTACATAGAAATGGACACTCTCATATTCTGTTAGCGGATATGTAAATTGGAACAACATTTCTGGAGGGCAATTTGGCAGTGCATTTCAAACACATTAAAATGTGCATATCTTTTCACCAAGGAAAGCCACATTTAGGATTTGATTAGATGTATATAAAAATATCTGTGCAAGGATGATCACCATTTTATTTCTCATTACTATAAAGATTCAGGCCAAATTTAAATGTTTAGAAATAGTAGAGAAATTAAATAAACTGTAGTACGTACATATAATTTTTTACCTAGTCATTCAGCAAATATTTATTTACAATAAGATAATATGTACTCGTTACACATCTAAAAGACAAAGGGCTAAGGAAATGTTCATAGAATATTGCTGGAAGACAAAAGCAGGCCATGAGACCACAGGCCTGGGAAATCCAATTTTGATGAAACCTGAATGCTGCAACCTCAAGAGCGTGGGGACACAAATGGAAGTTACAGCAATATTGACACTCGTATTATGCTGTGAACAGAACTGTATAATTTAGTTTCCTTCTCAAAATTCCCCTCAGTTATTATTCTTAAGATTCATATAAAATTGACGTGAACCTATTAATCTATATCTGGTGTATAATAGAAATAGATGAATCGAATATGTATATATGTAAAATGTGTATATGTACATTAAAAAAAGAAATTAATTACTAAGAATTGGCTTGTGTATTATATAGGCTGAAAAGACCCAAGATATGCCATTTGCAAACTGCAGACCTAGGAAGGCCAGTGGTGTAGAACCATCTGAGTCTGAAGTCCTAAGAACCAGGGGAGCCAACTGAGTAAGTCTCAGTTCAAGTCTAAGGGCAGGAGAAAACTGATTTCCAGCTCCAATCAGCAGAGAAAAAGAGCGAATTCTCCTTTCCTCTGGTTTTTGATTGGTTCAGGCCCTCAATGAATTGAATTTTACCTAACATCAAGGAGGGCAATCTGCTTCACTGAGTTGATTGATTCAAATGCTAATCTCTTTCAGAAACACCTTCACACTCAGAAATGATGTTTAACCATATATTTGGGCAACCCACAGACAGGTCAGATTGATACACAAAATTAAGGATCACAGACAAGAGATTGGAAACCTTCCCAACATTCCTGAGAATGTTACAGGATGTTACAGATTAACTTTTCATGGTATCCTAGATGTTCCTGTCTTCTTGTCTTTCCAAACTCTGAACTCATAAATCCAGTTTTGCATCTGAGTTCTACTCTCTACCCAAACCCAACCTAGACATGGAACATTGCACTATCTAATTTTAAATAAACATCCTAAAATCACCATACCTGCAAAGTATACTTGTGTGCAGCACTTTTACTGGACATTTGCATTGGCATGTCAATGTATAATGACAACACTCAAAGTCTTCTGGTTACCTGCCCTCCCAACTCAGGGAGTTCTTATGTGTGGATGGCCCTCCACCTCAGCCTGGCTATCTCTCAGCAAGCCCTTGTGTTCCCCTGGGGTTCTCTAGAAAATCAGAGCCAAGAGAAAAAAAGCAAAACTCTATCATCTATCTATCTATCTATCTATCTATCTATCTATCTATCTATCTATCTATCTATCATCTATCATCTATCTATCTATCTATCTATCTATCTATCTATCTATCTATCTATCATCTATCAGATCTATCTATTTAAAAGAGATTATTTTTTAAAATTGACTCACATAATTATATACATATATAATTATGATAGAATGTCAGACACAGACTTTTGTTTTTTTGTTTCATTTTGGTTTTTTGTTAGCAATATTCTGTGTTTTCAATGCTTTCAGCAGTATATAATTTTGCAGTAGGAAGAAGTATAGAAATGCATTCAGTTAGCAAATATATCTATCATTTTGTACGTTATTATTTATTTAGAAAATGAACCCAAAAGGATTTAGAATAATTTATGTTTAAATAAAACATTGTTTCTTATATATATTATTTTATTTTGCATCAATTATGGTATTTTCTAACATCCTATGAAGTAAGCAGAGAAATTGTTATAGTTGTCTTTTTACATATGTAAGTTTAATGCAATAAGAAATGCCCGCACTGACACTCAAATATATGTCCTCTGTCTCTGGGGCAGTGATTTTACCATTTACAGCAATTCTTGCATTAATATGGGGCAGAGTGAGACCATATTACCCTCACCTCTTTGCTGTTACACATACCATTCAGGGGACACCAAAGAAACATATCGTTTCATCTTGTTTTTTTCTTATGTATATTCAAAGATGTTCGTCACATATAGACCCCACTGATAAATCTATTCATGTTTCCCTGCCTTAACCAACTCCTAAGTGCTTTGCTATGTGCTTAACATACAGTATGAGTTAGTTCAGCATCATTCTCTGGTCCCTATTAGACTTTCTCCTCACTAGCCAAGCTTGGTCTTAGTTTCTCATAGATAAGCCTATCTGGAAGCCTTAGGAAAGGTTTTCTTGTTCTTCCAATCAAGTATGCAGAAACTTTTTAAACAGTTTTGATTGCATTGACACTTTCCTGGGACTAAAAGATCAATCATTAGGAAAATAGGCCCCGAGAACTCATTTGTCTTCTCACTGGGCATCTCTCAACTTTCGGTCTAAATGAAAAAAGGCATCCTCGATGGAAGAAAACACTCGAAATATTTCCAATGTAAGGTAATCATTAAGCTAAAAACTGGAACTTTGAAATGTAAGCAATTGAACATGTAAAATAACAAAACTATTTTAGTGCTCCCTTTGGCAGCACTTATACTAAAATTAGAACAATACAGAGAAGATTAGCATGGCCCTTGCACAAGGATGATCTACAAATTTGTGAAGCGTTCTATATTTTTCAGCAAGAAAGAAAAAAAAAGATTTCTATGTGAGAGGCTTTGTTTAAATACTTTAACAAAAATAATTTGTTTAATTTTTATAACAATGCTAAGAGGTACTTACTATTATGATTCTTATTTTTCTAGATAGAAAAACTATAGCATGGAGAAGCTAAGGTATATGACCAAGTTCACATAGCTAATAAATGACAGAGATGGATTTCCAACCCAGAGTTCACTATATTACCCTATGTTATGGGTTTCATACACATCACACAAATCATTGCTTTACATAGGTCTATTGAACACCTACTCTGTGCTAGGTACTGTATTTTGTAGTGACCTCACCTTTAGAAACAATAGGTTAAGGATAAGACATGGTACGTGCTAACCGCCATGTCTCACTTCTAGTTAGTTATCTGCTAAAAATTTATTAACTAAAGGGATTTACTGGCCAGATCACTGCCTGTAGGTACAAAATATTTTAACAATGACGCATTCTGCTTCTGTACCCCTGCTTGCTTACCCACCTCTTAGTTATCAGTTAATGAATGGAGGAGATATAGTCTTTTGTGTAAAGATTAAGGATGTGGGGGATGGGATCGAGGGCTTAAAACCTTTGTGCCCCTGCGTCTCGGGGCTGCTCCTTTGCAAGGACAGCCGCCGGCTAATAAACTGTCTCTTGGATTAGAGCACTCGAGCATTAGAGCCTGGTTATTTCGGTCACAACATATTTGACATCTTATAGGTCCTCTCACTGCCTCAAGAGACCATCTTTATGCTGATGAAGACCTGGGGTGGAGAGTTAAGTCATTTCTTTCCAGCAAAACTTGAATTCAAATCTCTATCCATTGGCTCTAGATCTCAGATCTGTCTGATTCCCAAACATGTACTGAATTGACTATGCAATACTACCATTTGATTATTGGGTATGACATTTTAAGCTAAGTAATGAAGCCCTTGATTTTTTTTTCTTTGAGAGGAAGTTTAACAATGTGTCATTTAACAATGGGAGTGCCAGTGACAGAATTAAAAAAGTGACTAAAATAAGGGCACCAGAGAGAGAAGACTACACTGATTCTAATCTACCATGTAGGAGAGGAAAAAATATTTTTCTTTTACCCTGTAGGTTCTTGGCTGACACCAACCCCTACCTATAATAAAAGATTAAAAGTAATAAAGAACAAATAAAATCAAAGACAAGATAAAAACAAACATGTTTAATAACATGTATATCTCTTATACACAGAAGAGATACCTACAAAAAATGGATTCCTGACTCAGAGCTCCCAAAACCCTTGGAATTTCCTAATTCATAAGAGCATCTTTAGTTATAATATCTGACCTTTTGTTCTCAGTTCCAAAAGTTGCTTCAGAGCTATAAAGGTGAAATGGGTGTCTTGTTATTCATAATAAGCCCCTTTTAACACAACTGAATTTATATTAGTGATGGGACTTATGGAAATCCCCTAAAAATTGCCACAAAACATGTGGCAATGCTGGTAACCAGGAGAACCAACCAAGTGATGAAAGGGTTAGAAATTTCAGTGCCACCTCCTGACCTCTGGAGAGGGGAGAAAGTCTGGAGATTGAGTTCAGTCATCAATGGCCGATGATTTAATCAATCACACATACGTAATGAAGCTTCCATAAAACCTCAAAGGAATGGATAGGGGTTTGGGAGCTTCTGAGTTTGTGAACGTATGGAGATTCAGGGTAAATGGTGTGCCCAGAGAGCACAAAAGCTCCACACCCTTTCCCCATACTTTGCCCTATGCATATCTTCCATCTGGCTGATTTTAAGTTATATTCTTTTATAAAAAACTGAAAATCTAGTAGGTAAAATGTTTCCATGAGTTCTTTGAGACACTCTAGCAAATTAATCAAACCCCAGGAAGCTGTCCTTGAAACCTCTGATCAATAGCCAGTCAGTAAGAAGGACAGCTGATAACCTGGACTTACTGTTAAGGGTGGGGTTCTGGGCAAAGATATGCTAATGGCCAACTTTTGCTTTTGTAATCTGTTTGCTTGTTTGATGATTAACTAGGGTGTGGTTAATCTGCTTGCTTGTTTGATGTTAACTAGGGTGTGGCTAGGCTTTATAAACTGCCTCTTTTGGGAGCTCAAGGCTGATCTCCTCTAACCCTGCATGGTAGAGAGTCAGTCACTGGCCGGTTAATAAAGGCTCATAATTAATCTCAATTGGCTCCGTGAGTCTTAGAATCGTTCGCACCATAACACTTACAAATGGCATCTGAATTGTGTGTACACAGCATGAAGTCAGTCTTGTGGGACTAAAACTGTGGGATCTGATGCTATCTCCAGGTAGTGAAAGAATTAGGTTAAGTTGTAGGACACACAGCTGGAGTCAGAGACCTGCTTGTTGGTATGGAGAAAAAAAACCTATACACTGGAATTGGATGCAGAATCATAGGGGCTGGGAAGGAAATACATCAAAGATCCAATTGATGAGTATATAAAGAAACTGATATTTAAGCATAATGGATTTTAATGTAGTAGCTAAACAAAATGAACTAGCTACACATATCAACACAGGTAGATTTAAAAACATACACTTGATTGAAAAAGCAAATTGCAGAATAATGGACAAGAATTCTAACATTTCTATACATGTTTAAACATGCTCAACAATAATATATTATATAGGCTTTGTCATTCCAAATAGATACGTACATAAGCGTAAACAAGAAACAGATCAAAGGATGCACACTAAAGTAATGGTAGGAGTTACCTTTGTTGTGGGGTGAGGAGATAGATAGGAGGCATAAAGAGGAGAGAGGCAATGAAAGGGACTTTAATTTTATCTGTAGTTTTTTTAATATTTAAAAAGGCAAAGGAAATATTTGTAATTATAAATACTCGTCAATTATACACAGGTGTACATTTTATTTCTTTTAAATTTTATCAGAGTGAAATTTATGACAAAAGAAGATAAAATAGGCAAATCGACAAGGAAAAAATAGTTAATTCATAGGAGAAAGAATATAAATAACATATGTAAATGAAAATGCATTAATATTCAAGGAAAAGGATAATAGAAATAATTGTTAGAGTTATACATTTGTTTTTTTGCAAAAATGATAATTGTTATTGTTAATGAAAATGTGACAACTCTCCCATATTGCTTGTGGTAGTTTAAGTTGGTAAAATACCTTTAGAGGATTGGTTTTTAATATGTTTCAATACCTGAACAGTTCACATCCTTTGAATCAGCCTTAAAAACATAAAGAGAAAAAACTAAAATGATTAAAAAAGATTTATACACAGAGCATTTATGGGGATGTTATTCAAAATAGTTAAAAATTAGAAACAAAATGAATATATAACAAGTATTACACAGCATGATGGAATGCTATGTAGCCATTCAAAATCCTGCTGTGGAATGGTGTGTTATGATATGGAAAGTTCAGTAATGTGCTAAATGTTACCACACAGTAAATTCAGATATAATTATATATAGGTGTACACATGTATATATGTATGTATATATGTAAATGTATTTTACATACATATGTATGTGTGTACGTATGTGTGTGTTTAACCAGAAAATGGACCTACCCCTTTCCAACAGCATTAAAAGGAATCCCCATTTTCTAGAATTGTGTCTGGAGCCCCAGTGCTTATGGTGGTATTTAGAAGCAAGAATCCTTGTATTCTGAAGGGAAGTCTATGCTTGCTTCCAGGCCCATTCTTACAAAACTCACCAAGAGGTAAATACATTTGTCCTGCAGCCGTAACCCCACCAGCCTACATGAGGGAGACTAGAAATTTGTGAATGTATTAAAGTAAGGAATCATTGTCAATGGATGATAGTGGTATTTATCCCAGTGCACTCCCATTTAGATCTTAGTAAGGAAAGATCTAAGAAAATCACTCATCAAGACTGAGGGTCTGAAAGAAGGGGAGTCTGGCACTGTAACCCCTGGCTGACAGCGGACAGAACTCCAAAGCCCAGGAGTTCGTGGGCATGCTGTCACCAGAACTGGGTGCAGTGCGCCAGTTTCTTTGGGGAGTCTAACAAAAGATGCGGGAAGTTTGAGGACATCAGTGAAGGTATTCTTATTCCAGGGAATGTGCAGTAAGAGTTCTGTTTGATCAACTAATGATGGGCAGAGTAAAGAGAAGAGGCACAAAAGAGTTGTCTAAATTTCCTGTTCCTGGGGTAGGTAAGGGCGCATTTGTTTTAAAACATAGGAGTTTTAGTGTTATTCAGGTATAGTGAGGTCAGTAGATCAGGAGACAATTGCCAGTGAAAAAATAGTTTGTTATTCACACTTCCCAAGAGGAGGGGGCATACTCTGCCACAGGGGCCGCAGGGGCAGCACAAATCTTGGTCAGGAGGCTGAGGTTGGGGGAGAGACAGGGATTGTGGGCAAGATAAGTGGGCTTAGGATTGGCTAGTTTGAATAATTTTTTTACTGGGTGCTGGGGTGAACAGACTGTCCTAGTTGTCTGGTATCTGGCCTTGTAATTAGAGCAGAGGAATACTGCCCTGAGTGTGAGAACCCAATGGAGGAAGTGGTAGAGTGTGAGGACTCAGATTGGTTAGTTTGCATATGAAAAACACACCTTGAGGTGAGTCATTTACTATCTCTAGGAACTGGTTAACCTTGGGAAGGGTCCCTCCACACTCTGTAAAGCACCAAGGTGTCAAAGAATTAGAACTACAGAAAATAAAAAGGCACGCTTGCTTAAAACAGCATTTGAGGATGGGGGGAAACAACTACACAGGAACAGATCTATGATCCGGAAAGAATGAGGTGAGAACTCCTGCATGGGCTTTCAGAGAGCCTCTTTCTATAGCCTCCAGAAAGTGCCTTCACATACCACTCAGAGGTTCTGGAATGAGCCACGGTGCCATCCTGTCTGGTCTCATGGCCATTGGGATTGTTCTGCCTCAATGGGCCTGTGGCTGAAACACATCTAAAGCCAAGATGTTGTCCTTAGTCTTAAGTCCAACAGAAACCTATTGTCTTCATGATTATAGACCTGAGGCTTGC